GCCACTGCGGCCAGTGTGCTGCATCCGAAGCCAGGAGCCAGGTGCTTCTCCTGGCCTCCCATGCCGGGGCAGGGCCCAAGGACCTGGGCCATCCTCCACTGCACTCCTAGGCCACAGCAGAGAGCTGGACTGGAAGAGGAGCAACCGGGACAGAATCTGGCACCCCAACCGGGACTGGAACCCGGTGTGCCAGCGCCGCAGGCAGAGGAGTAGCTTACTGAGCTGCGGCGCCAGCCTTTTTTATTTATTTATTTATTTTTATTTTTTAAAAATGTGTTCCAGATAGGTGAGTTAGGAAAATAAACGTAGGGGCCAGCGCTGTGGCATAGTGGTAAAGCCGCCGCCTGCAGTGCCCGCATCCTCTATGGGCACTGGTTCTAGACCTGGATTCTCCACTTTCAATCCAGCTCTCTGCTATGACCTGGGATAGAAGATATCCCAAGCCCTTGGGCCCCTGCACCCATGTGGGAGACCTGGAAGAAGGTCCTGGCTCCTGGCTTCGGATCGGTGCAGCTTCGGCCATTGTGGCCAACTGGGGAGTGAACCAGCAGATGGAATACCTCTCTCTCCTCTGCCTTTCCTTCTCTCTGTGTAACTCTGACTTTCAAATAAATAAATAAATCTTAAAAGAAAAAAAGAAAAGAAATGGTGTTTATTGATTCGAAGCTGAATCCTAATCCAGTTGCCCAGTGAGCAACCCTAACCTTTAGTTGATAAGGCCAAACACCTTTCATCTTGAAAATCTCAAAGATAAACTTTGACCACACCCAGTGGTGGAAAAGTTCGTTCTAGTAATGATTGTGGTTGTAGTTCTTCAACCATTCAGAAGCAGAAGTGTAGAGCCATCAGAGTTTCCTGAGCTCACATGGCAAAACCTATGAGTAAAAAATATCTAGCTTCCCCCTAAATACCACTTCCTCTTTGGTCCCCACAGCTAAATGTAAACAAAATAGTGAAGGTTATTTCTTTATCAAAGATCCAGTTCGTGGATATGATGGTTAATTTTATCTGTCACTGGACTGGGCTGTGGAGTACCTGATATTTGGTCAAACATTACTCGGGGTGTTCCTGTGGGGGTGTTTTTGGATGAGATTAACATTTAAATCAGTGGACTGAGGTAAGCACAATGTTGTCTCATTGTGGGCCTCATCCAATCAGGTGACAAAAAGCCTGAACGAACTCTTTTCCATTAAGGACAATTCCTCCTGCCTGACTGCTTTTGAATTGAGACATCAGCTGTTCCCTAACTTTGAACTTGAAGACTTGGAACTGAAACACCAACACTTTATTCAGTTTCCACCCTGCCAGCCTTCTCATGAAAACTATACCATTGGCTCTCCTGGGTCTCCAACTCACTGATTCACCCTACAAAGCTTGATCTCGGGACTTGTCAGCCTCCATAATCACACGAGCCAATATCCTATTATTTACCTACCTACCTACCTACCAACCTACCTGTCCGTCTGTCCTTTTGTCCATCCATCCAATTGGTTCTCTGGAAAACCCTAATACAGTAGACATACACTAAAGTCAAACACCATCACTTTCTAGCAAGAAAAATCATCTTTTGAAAGGCTTGGCTCGCAGAACTCTTACAGGAGAGTGGATTTTTATTGACTAGAGAAAAATCAAATTCAATGTTGAAAAAATTCCAGTGCTGAGATACTGAATTTCTGGAAGACAGGCATGGTGTTAGTTTTGCTTTATAGTTCTAGTACAGTCAATAGCATGACAGAAATTAACATTTTAAATGAAACAATACTGTGTGATAGTGATGCTAAGAAGAAGAATCGATGAGGCTTTGTAAACCCGTGTTGTGATAACGCAAACAAGGCGCTAGCTAGGGCAATTAGGAGTGATGGAATTGATTGATGGAGTGCACCCTGAAGGAAGCTCATTTCGCGCTGAGACTACGCAGAGGTAGGCTTCTATATTCAGCACCGACGGGGTGCAGCTGCTTCTGCTCTGTACCTTAGTCTCTCCTCTGCTCCCTCCTTGCCTTTCCAGCATCGGCGTTAAATACAAGCTCCACCTCACCCTTAACATGTCCTGTTTTCTTCCACCCAATAAAGGCAGGAGGGTGGAGTTGTGCCTTCCCTGGCAGCCAGACATCTTAGGGCTTGCTTCAGGCTCCACCTCCCACCCCACGCACCATCTCTTACCCAGAAGCTGTTTTTCCATGCGAGGAGCTGACCTCATTGTTCCTGGGGCTGGAGCCATCCCTAAGTCGACTGCCAGTTTGGGAGTTTATGGCAGTTCTGTGATTTTGGCACAGGAGTCAGCCCTGTCACAAAGACAGTGTTCGCTCCCACCTCTCCCCTTCTCTGAGCGTGCGACTGGCACGTCCCACGTGCATGGGGCCTATGGATACACTAGTTTCGTAGCCTCGCTGTCATTTCTGGGACTTGCCAGGACACCGCTCTGCTTCCTGTTCCTGCAGAGCAGCATGACATTTGGCTCCACCGAGCCCCTGTCATGTTGCCACACAAACATCGCCTGTCTGGTGCTCTCGTTTCCTCGCAGTGAACTATTATTGCACATCGCCTCAGGACGCTCTCACAGTGTCCCTCTCCCTTGGCTGAGCCAGTCTTCAAAAAGCAAATGTGTAACTAGAGTCATGCTTTTAGGGAACATGGATAGAACAGGACTAGTGCAGTTTACTGGAGAGAACACCAAACATGGCTGCCCTGTTTGAACAACAGAGGAACGCTCCCCACCCCCACGCACCGTTTAGTTGCCACAAGCATACACATACCTTCCTGTCCCTTCCCTACCTGACACCCTGAGCGGGAGGTGGCAGCAGTTAGCTCTTAATTTCCATAAACACCGATCAGCCTGGCCACATAGCACCGTCTGCCGGACAGCATCCTCAGATGCCCAGCTAATCAGCCGTCTTTCTAGACTGGATGTGCTGTTGGCTGTAATGCTAACTTCAGGTGGCTCAATTTTCCCATTGTTTAAATGAATTTAATGGTGAGCAATACAAGTCGAATTGTGCATCTTTAGGATAGAATGTATTGCACTACTGCAACTACATTTTTTCAGAGGTACCTTGGGAATAATTAATTATCTGATTTACTGCCATAGGAATTTATCAAATATCCAACTAATATTCACTTAACATCTACCCTGAGTGTGTCATGTGCTCATTGTGAAGATATGATAATGTTTACAAATTGATACTTGGGCCTATTTAGTAACAGGAATTTAAATGCAACAGAAGAGAACTGGCATAGCAGGTAAAGCCACCACCTGCAGTGCCGGCATCCTATATGGGCAATGGTTCAAGACCCGGCTGCTCCACTTCCAATCCAGTTCTCTGCTATGGCCAAGGAAAGCAGTGGAAGATGGCCTAAGTCCTTGGGCCCCTGCACCCACGTGGGAGACCTGGGAGAAGCTCCTGGCTCTTGGCTTCAGATTGGCACAGCTCCAGCTGCTGCGGCCACGCGGGGGATGAACCAGAGGATGGAAGACCCCTCTTCCTCTCTGTCTCCTTCTGTTTGTAACTCTGCCTTTCGAATAAATAAATGTCTGTAAAAAAATGAATGCAACAGAAGGATGAAATGTGAACAATTCCATTTAAACTTCAGGTTTGAGGAGGACTAGATATAACGTTAGTAAGTGGAGTGCACCTGCCTTTTTAGAAGGACCGAGCTTAATCCTCACTGGCTAGAAACCATTATGGTGACACAGAAATGTTATGTCGACCTAAACTGAACTTGACTCTGGAAGAAAGACTCCAGGCCGTTGAAATGGCCATTTTGATGCCCTTCCAGAAGAAAGAATTATGAAGGAACAAGGAAAAGACTTGGGGCTCAGGTCTCTACTGCTCAGACTCCCCGCGGGCTTAGAGCAGGGGAAGAGAGAGCGGGACGCGGTTTCCTGGTCCGCAGATGCTGGTATTTAGCTGGTGAGACACCCCCTTTGCAAAGTGCCGCTCCCTAGGCACAGGATCCCTATTTTCTGGTGTAATTTTTCTTTATCTACTGAGAAGCCCACACAGGCCTTTTTTCTCTCTTTGCCTCCTGTGTGACAGCCACAGAATCTAAACTTCACAGCCCTGGCAACTCTATTTTTGCTCGCGCCGCCACAGCTACACGGCTTCTGCATTTGTTGTTGTTTGTCCCTCAGCACTGTGCTTCGTGGGTCCGCCATCCTCACAGCAGAGAGCGCGATCCTGCCTCCTGACACCCCTCCGCTCGGCACACCCGCGGCTCTGGAACCGCAGAGGAATTTAGAAGTGCCACCCCTGTGTCCGGGCGAAGTTACAGCAGGGTTTCGAAGCAGCGTGGACTCTAAACGTCACTCCTGCCGCCGCGTTTCGCAAGGGCCCCCTCGCCTACGACGTGTTTTTCAAACAGAACTGAAGTGGATAAACCCCAGAACGCAAACAGGCGGAAGAATGAGCCGAGCGGAGGGGGCAGACATCCGGCGGCTGCCCCGCTCTGGAGGGGTTAGAGCAGCTCTGGAAACCTGGGGGCAAAAACCCTCGCTGGCTGTTGCAGGGGGGCCTCCCGAGGTCGCGTCCCCTGCCCCTCAGGTCGGGCGGGCTCCCCCGGGCGGAGGAAGCAGGCCTCCCCGATCCACTTCCGGGATTGCAGCTTCTCTCCTCACACTCCCGGGAGCAAAGCCTTCTCAGGCCACGACTCTCCGCGACCCAAAAATAACTACACAGATGTGAGGAAAAGGGCCAAAGCCTGCGGCACGGGGCGGCGCTTAGCCACAACCTTATCGCTCACAGCCAGAACGCTCGAAACCAAACCCTGCACTAGCCTTTTATAGCGGGTCCCTCGAGCCCCGCCCTAGCAACTGCTCCTAGCAACGCCTCGCCCTCGCGTTCTGCCCTCTTATCGGCCTCCGCCAGGCCCTTCCTGTTCCCCTCCCCCACGCCAGCGCCGCTCAGACGCCCGCGTCACGTGACTTGCCCCAGGGGAGGGGAGGGGCGAGCGGAAACGTGCGGGGCGGGGCGCTGGAGGGAGCGGCTGGCGTCATCAGCATGCGACCGGCTAGTTAGTTGTGGCGCCTGGTGTTTCAGGGCATCTCCGGGTTCCGGGATTAGATGAAATGGCGGAGGCTGCGGGGCTGGTGTGGGTTCGTGGCCCCGGCTTCGGGTGCAGGGCGGTGCGATGTACTTCGACTCAGTGCTCCGTGCAGGATTTCATCTACCAACTTTGCCAAAATCGGGTGAGGATCGCGGTTCCTGGAAGGGGAAACACTCGGACCATTGGGAGGGCTGCGTGCCGGGAGGGTCTGTCGGGAGGGATAGGCTGCGTCTGTTTGGGATTTTGAGTTTCTGAGACTGAGTTCTTCAGTTTTAAGGTACCTCAGACTGATACTCATACCTTCCTTTGCTTTCGTGTTGTGGTGGTCTTGCTTTGCCTCTCAAAGGAGGAGAAAAACTTGAGAAGCAAACCAAAAACCCTGCAGCAACAGGTGCTTAGTCCACACTTCGGTCGTTCATCAGTAAATGAGATAGTTGGACTTTCAGATGACCTGAAAAACCTCCGTTCAGACTGTGGATCGGCGACGTGCGCTTTGTGCGCTGATCACACAGTCCTGTTAGTTCCAGCCGATTTTTAACCCCGCCTCCGTCGTGCTGTTTCTTTCGCTGTTCTTTGTAAGCTTAATATTGTTGGCATTACCCGCTTAAGTCAAAGCTTCGCTAGACTTGGACGTCCCCACAAAGAAGTGTTTACAGATGTTTTTCAGATTCCTCGTTTTTCTTTCTATGCTTACAGTCCAGTCTAAAAAGAATGTTAAGCAGAACCATTTTTGATCATCTGAATCGAGAAATGTTTCCCAAAATAGTTGGATTTTAATGTCTTTGTAAATAAGTATTATCTCAGGAGTACAGTTTTCAGATCTATTGACAGTTGAGCCAAAGTGGGACCAGAAAAAAGTAACAATCCTAACTGTGAGGAATGCTGGAAATAAGAGTTTTTAAACCAGAGGCCAAAATATAAATGAATTCAGTTACTCAAGGAACAGGACCATAGCGAATATGAATAGAAACACAATTTTAAAACGGACATCTGTTGAGATACAGGGACCAAAAAAAAAGCCCATTTTCACACTATGCTGTTTAAAATGAAACTGAAAAAGTTAGTGTTAGCGCCCACTGAAAAAAATTAAAATCTGCCCCGCTCTTCCTCAGACGTGGAGAATGCCAGCTGTACGGTTTGCAGGAAGCAGTGTTTCCCTGAGGGCTTGCTGCAGTGGTGAAATGGCACTGGGGCCCCTTGCAAGTGTACTGTTATTCAGGGAGAAACCTGGTGTTCAAGAACTGGACTGTAAGGAACTTTGAAATTATTCCAGTAAGAAGGAAATATCCCACTCTTTTACTTTTTTCTAAAGACTTTATTTATTTATTGAGAGGTAGAGTTATAGACAGTGAGAGGGAGAGACAAAGAGAAAGGTCTTCCATCCACTGGTTCACTCCCCAGATGGCTCCAACAGCTGGAGCTGAGCCCATCGGAAGCCAAGAGCTTCTTCCAGGTCTCCCATGTGTGTGCAGGAGCCCAAAGACTTGGGTCATCTGCTTTCCCAGGCCATAGCAGAGCTGGATGGGAAGAGGAGCAGCCAACGCTAGAAATGATGCCCATATGGGATGCTGGCACTCTTCCTTTGAATATCTAAGTCACTCTGATACAGAGAAGCACCCTTGATTTCCAGTGCACATGCAGAACTTCAGATTAAGGGTTTCTAAATACTATATTCCACATTTGTCTGAAATTTGTAGTTTCCAAGGAAAGAGGAGCCTGAATCTGCAGCACAGTCCAAACCTGATGTCTTCCTACACATAGCCCTGCTTTGTTTTGAGCTAACCTCCACCCATGCTTCAAATCCTACGGTGTCTCAGTTTCTTTCGTTGGTGAGATACCCCTTGGTTTCTCTTGTGTGCAGTTCCCCCTCACTGGCAGTGAGTCAGTAAATTTGACTTTATTTCTCTCTGGCCTTGGGCTGGTTGGGCAAAGACTGGCATAATACTCTGTGGTTGAAATGCTTTATGATATGGAATAGTTAAAAACAGTTAAATTAATTTTAAATTTTCTCTTTTTTTTTCCTAGTAGTGATTTAATTGCTAAGAATCTTAGCAAGTAGAAAATGCAGTTTTTATCAGTTATCTTGTTTAAAAAGCACTTCTCTTTGGAAATTAAGTATGATGCATAATCATTCTACCTTCACATTACTGTCTTTCAAAATTATTTAAAATTTTAGAAGTACCATAACCTCTAGACATATAAAGTGACTAAAAGAACTCAAAGTGGCTTTTAGTTTGTAAACATTAAATAGATACAAGGTGCATTACCTGCATCATTTAATTATTATGTCAGTCCTTTGAGGCAAGCAGTATGTTACAAACAAGAGTCCCTTCGTGTTAATCACTTCATTGCAGGGAGCCTGAACTTTCTTGCTCCTGGGTTCTGCCATCATATTTGGGAAAATGCGCATCCACTCACGTCCAACTCCAGACCCCTCCTGCCCAGGCATGTGGCAGTGACTGGTAGGGAGGCTGCAGTCACATGTGTCAGCCTCACTGGGACTTCACAGCCAGCAGCCATAGCACTGCTCAGCAGTTCTGTGTTTCCTTCAGCCAGCACAGGCCTGCACTGGGTTGAATGCTGATCTGTGTAGCCCTCAGGGCAGCTGCGTGGAGTATGCAGCTTCACAGAACCTCAGCTTATCTCCAGTAGCCTTGCTGGTATCCCCCAGGGATGACAGATGGGGGGACAGTAATGTGTACCATGGTGTGGGATTGGGTAGCCCATCTTAGTTCACCATTCTTCCACTGTCCTGGGTTACTGTTTGACATTCTCTTTCTCTAAATTCCCCATCCTTTGCTCCTGAGGCCTGAACTTTCTGAAGAAGTACAAGCAGTAAGCAAAGAATATCTTCATCGTCACACCAGTGCCCCGAACTGCCTGCCATGTATTCAGCCTTCTCTTCCGTGGCTATGGTGCACTGCCCTTTTTATTTTAGTAGTGATTTGTAATTATCACTGACTCTGCACAGGGTCTCTACCCTCTCACCTTAGGAAGGACTTATTTTAGCATTTGTTCTTTCTCCCTGAATTTTCCAGTGTTGTGACTACCTGAGTACAAACATAAGCCAGCATCCCTTCCAACTGTCACTTCATTTTCTCTGAATTGATTTATTTTCTTTCTTTTTTTTTTTTTAAAGATTTTATTTATTTATGAGGCAGAGAGGGCGAGACAGAGAGAAAGGTCTTATTTTTTTTAAATTTTTATTTATTTATTTATTTTTTGACAGACAGAGTGGACAGTGAGAGAGAGAGACAGAGAGAAAAGTCTTCCTTTTCCATTGGTTCACCCTCCAATGGCCGCCGCGGCCGGCGCGCTGCAGCTGGCGCACCGTGCTGATCCGAAGGCAGGAGCCAGGTGCTTCTCCTGGTCTCCCATGGGGTGCAAGGCCCAAGCACTTGGGCCATCCTCCACTGCCTTCCCGGGCCACAGCAGAGAGCTGGCCTGGAAGAGGGGCAACCGGGACAGAATCCGGCGCCCTGACCAGGACTAGAACCCGGTGTGCTGGCACCACAGGCGGAGGATTAGCCTGTTGAGCCACGGCGCCGGCCGAGAAAGGTCTTCTAACCACTGATTCACTCCCCACATGGCCACAACTGTTGGAGCTGGGCCGATCTGAAGCCAGGAGCCAGGGGCTTCCTCTGGGTCATCTTCCATTGCTTTCCCAGGCCATCAGCAGGGAGCTGGATCTGAAGTGGAGTAGCCAGGACTCTAACCAGCACACATGTGAGATGCTGACACTGTAAGTGGAGGCTTAACCTACTGTGCCACAGCGCCAGCTCCAGAAAAAAATTCTAAAATGTAATGCTCTTCTCCTTTAGAACCCATTCTAGTTAGACTTCTGTTCCCATAATTCTAACAAAGCAGATCTAATCTTGCTCATTAATATCTTTGTGATTGCCACATCCAGTGATCAGTTTCCTATGTTCCTCTTGCTTTGCTTGGCAGCTTCATTTGGCACAACTGTAACCTCCTAGAGACACTTTTCTTGCTTGGCAGACATCACTCTCAGTTCTCTTTCTCCTTACTGCCTTGACCAGTCTCTTCTTGCTGCTTCCTCTTCATCTTCCTAATGTCTTAACCTTCGAGTCACCAGGGTTTTGGTTTCTGATCTTTTTAAAAAATATTTATTTATTTTTAAGGTTTATTTATTTATTTGAAAGGCAGAGAGAGAGAGGTCTTCCATCCGCTGGCTCATTCCTCAACTGGCCACAATGGCCGGAGCTGGGCTGATCCAAAGCCAGGAACCAGGAACTTCTTCCAAGTCTCCCACGTGGATGCAGGCACCCAAGGACTTGGGCCATCGTCTGCTGCTGTCCCAGGCTGTAGCAGGGAGCTGGATCGGAAGTGGAGCAGCTGGGACTCAAACCAGCACCCATATGAGATGCTGGCACTTCAGGCAGCAGCTTTACCCCCTATGCCACAGCACCGACCCCCTGAAGTCTTAATTTCAACTCAACAGCCAGAGTGATTGTTTAAAAACATTCAGATTATAGAACTTGTTCAAAACCCTACAATAGGTTTATTTAGAGTAAAATCCAGACTCCTTAGCTTTTAAAGCCTTACCATGCTCCTGTGCTTATTTTATTCCAATCATAGTGGCCATTTTGCTGTTCCTTGAGTACTCTGAGCTTATTTCTGCTTCAGGTCTTTGTTTCCTATTGCCTGTATGTGGAATGCTGTTCCCCTAGATAACTTGTTCCCTCACTTTATTTTACTCTGCTCAGCTGTCACTTGATGAGAGAAGGTTTCTATATGGATTATATAAAATAATAGATCACCACCACATTCAGCCACATATCCCATCCCTTATCCTGTTTATCCTCGCTTGGCATACTGTGTAATTTGTTTGCTTTGTCTTCCCCTCTGGGATGGTAGCTCCAGGAGGCAGATGGATTTTAGTTTTTATTTGCTATAATAAACTAACACCTGAAATCTACCTGGCAAATAATAGGTACTTAACTAAAGTTACTGAATGATGAATGGTTCCCTTTGAAATAGCTGTGTGCTTCAGAATGAATTGCTAATAGTGTTTGTTTCAGGAAGACACCAATAATATATTTTCTCTTTCCTAATGGTGTTTAGATCTCTGCGTTCCTGATATTCTAGATGTAGATTGAATTATGTACTTCCTAGTTCCATGTGTTTTTTTTTTTTTTTCTAAGTTTTATTTATTTGAAAGAGTCACAGAGAGGCTGGCACTGTGACATAGCAGATGAAACTGCTGCCTGCATCCCATAGGGGTGCTAGTTCAAGTCCCAGCTGCCTTGACTCAGATTAACTATTAAAGGAGAAAAAAAGCACTTTTTGTTTTCACCAAAAAAGACTGAGCCTTCTAAGTATCATTATCAGGCAACGTTAGGAAAAAATTGTCCCCAGACTGCATCATGTGAAATGACTTTTGCTTTCAGTACTTTTTTTTTTTTTTTTTTTTTTTTTTTTTTTGACAGGCAGAGTGGACAGAGAGAGAGACAGAGAGAAAGGTCTTCCTTTTGCCGTTGGTTCACCCTCCAATGGCCACCGCGGCTGGCGTGCTGCAGCCGTTGCACCGCGCTGATCCGATGGCAGGAGCCAGGTGCTTTTCCTGGTCTCCCATGGGGTGCAGGGCCCAAGCACTTGGGCCATCCTCCACTGCACTCCCTGGCCACAGCAGAGAGCTGGCCTGGAAGAGGGGCAACCGGGAAAGAATCCAGCGCCCCAACCGGGACTAGAACCCAGTGTGCCGGCGCCGCAAGGCAGAGGATTAGCCTAGTGAGCTGCGGTGCCAGCCCCCCTTTTTTTTTCTTAAGATTTATTTATTTGAAAGTCAAAGTTACACTGAGGGAGAGGAGGGAGATTTTCCATCTGCTGGTGCATTCCTTGGATGGCCACAATGACTAGGGCTGGGCCAGGCTGAAGCCAGGAGCTTCTTCTGGATCTCCCACATGGGTGGCAGGAGCCCAAGCACTGGGGCCATCTTCTACATCTTTTCCCAGGCCATTAGTAAGGAGCTGGACCGGAAGTGGAACAGCCGGGACCCAAACGGAGCACCCATTTGAATGCTGCCATTGCAAGCATTGGCTTTACCCGCTACACCACAATGCCTGCCCGTCTTTCAATACTTTTCATTTTCTTTTTAAATATTTTTTGTTTTGTTTATTTTAAAGAGTTACAGAGAGAGGAGGAGGGAGAGCAAGCGCACATGAGGGAGCTTCTATCTGCTGGTTCACTCTCCAAATGGCTGTAACAGGTGGGACTGGGCCAGGCTGAAGTCAGGATTCGGTGCTTCTTCTGGGTCTCCCATGTGGGTGCAGGGGCTCAAGTATGTGGGCCATCTTCTGCTGCTTTCCCAGGTACCTAAGCAGGGAGCTAGATCGAAAGTGGAGTAGACCGGCGCCGCGGCTCACTAGGCTAATCCTCCGCCTGCGGCGCCGGCACACCGGGTTCTAGTCCCAGTTGGGGCGCCGGATTCTGTCCTGATTGCTCCTCTTCCAGTCCAGCTCTCTGCTGTGACCCGGGAGTGCAGTGGAGGATGGCCCAAGTGCTTTGGGCTCTGCACCCGCATGGGAAACGAGGAGGAAGCACCTGGCTCCTGGCTTCAGATTGGTGCAGCACGCTGGCCTCAGCGCACCAGCCACTTGGGGGGTGAACCAATGGAAAAAGGAAGATTTTCTCTCTGTCTCTCTCACTGTCTAACTCTGCCTGTCAAAAAAAGAAAGAAAGTGGAGTAGCCGGGAATCAAACCAGTGCTCAAATGGGATGCTGGCGTCACAGGTGGAGGCTTAACCTTCTACACCACAACACTGGGCTTAGTACTTTTTATTTTGAATTCAACAGATATTAATTGAACACAAACTATCTGCTGTGGCTGTGTTAATAAAAAATAGTAAATTAGGTCCCTTTTGTAAGAAACTTGGCTCATGCAAGGCATTAAGAAAACCCAAACTTGTCTCTAGGATATTCCTGTGGAATACTTCTTTGTGAAATGCAACGGAGCCCTCATTAACACCGGCGACACAGTGCAGCATGGAGCTGTGTACAGTTTGGAACCCAGGCTTCGTGGTGGAAAAGGAGGTAGGCATGACTGTGGATTGCACAGCTGATACACATCTGTAGTTTTGAGTAGAATGTATTAAATTAACAAATTTCTTTGTCTCAGTAGTTTGCCAGCCTTGGTTTGCCTAATGAAATTCTTATTTACCTGCCTAATGTTAATATTTTCTCTTTTATTCTTTTTGAGGAAGAAATAATTGTATGACATAAGGCCCACTTCATCTGGCCAGATAGCTCTAAGGAAGCCTAGGGTAATGCTTGGGGAGAGATCAGATGAAGAGGGGTGACTGTAGAAGAAATAGCTTCAAACAGTCAGCTGTTCTTCTGCATCTGTCAGGATCTTGTCTCATTACTATAGTTGCAAGGGAGGTTTAAAGTCACCTCAGGAAACACAGCTGTGTACCAGTTGGGGTAGATAAAGGTCTTGGTTGTGTTGATACATCCAAGAGAGAAAAACACTAAAAGCAAAACCACAGTATGAGTAGTTTTTGTTATTTCTCCTGAGGCGCTACTGTGTAATCCCTAAGCTTTCTCAAAATCTAAGTGGTTTTGGTTTGGCTTTCCAAGAGCTGACATCTCAAGACTATAACCACCTTGCTGATTGAAGTTGTATCAAGCATATCGAATGAAGCTTGTCACATCAGCCAGTGACAGCTTAAAATTGCCTTTTAAACTCATTGAAAATTTTTACTGTATAATTTTTAAGTTTTTTTTTTAAGGTTTATTTTATTTATAAGGTGAGTTACAGAGAGAGGTAGAGACAGAGAGAGAGGTCTTCCAACTGCTGGCTCACTCCCCAAATGACCACAACAACTGGGCCAGGCCGAAGCCAGGAACCAGGAGCTTCTTCTGGGTCTCCCATGTGGGTGTCGGGGGCTCAAGCACTTGGGCCATCCTCTGCTGCTTTCCCAGGCACATTGGCAGGGGACTGGATCAGAGTGGAACAGATGGGACTCGAACAGGCGCCCCTATGGGATGCTGGCGCTGCAGACTGGGTCTTTAACTTGTTGCACCACAGTGCTAGCCCCATAAGTTTTAAGTTCTGAATTTGGGAATCGTGGGGGCTCTTTTACTGAGTAAAGCCCTCTAAGTATCCCAGCTGTACAGGTACAATATTTCAGAAATGTAAAATGAAGCCAAAGACATGAAGCAGCATCTAGTTGATGAGTCCTTTCATCTTTCTTGTCCATCTCCTTAAAAAAAGGGGGGGGGGGGTGGTAGAGGTTACTTTGACTATTAGCCTTGTCGTATAGACTATTTTCACAGATTTAGCTTTCAGCCATCCTTGAGTTCGTTTTAACCTGCTTTCTCCAAACACATTGGCTCAGGTTTTGGATCTATGCTTCGAGCACTTGGTGCTCAGATTGAGAAGACAACCAATCGGGAAGCTTGCCGGGACCTCAGTGGAAGGAGATTACGAGATGTGAATCACGAAAAAGCGTAAGTTCTTTTTGTTCTTTTATTTAGATTTTTTTTTTTAAAGACAAAATCACAGAGAGAGAAAGATGGAGAGATCCAGGCCAAAGCCAAAAGCTTGGAGCTGCTGTCTTCCATGTGGCTGCAGGGGCTCAAGCACATGGGCCATCTTCAGATGCTTTCTCAGGCTCATTAAAAGGGAGCTGAATGGGAAATGGAGCAGCCAGCATACAAACCGGTGCCCATATCGGATGCTGGCATCGCAGAGAGCAGATTACCCTGCTTTGCCATAATGCTAGCCCCCTGTTGTTATTTTTTAAGACAGAAATAGACTTTCTTATCTGTAGTGATTATACGGATGCCCTGCATATCAAAAATGTAAACTTGAAATACTCTCTGTTGTAACATTGAATCTTATGCATATTTTGATAACTGAGTTTTAGTTATGTCTGTTACTGTATGCTGGTAGTAAGCATGGCACCATTTTCTGGGGGAATGTCATGTTGTGAACAAGAGCCTGTTGGTCGGGGCTGGTGCTGTGGCATAGTGGGTAAAGCCACCGCCTGCATTGCCAGCATCCCATATGGGCGCCAGTTCAAGTTCCAGCTACTCCACTTCCAATCCAGCTCTCTGCTATGGCCTAGGAAAGCAGTAGAAGATGACCCAAGTCCTTGGGCCCCTGCACTTGTGTGGGAGACCTGGAAGAAGCTCCTGCCTCCTGGCTTTGGGTTGGCGCAGCTCCGACCATTGCAGCCAGTTGAAGAGCGAACCAGCAAATGGAAGACCTTTCACTCTCTCTCTGCCTCTCCCCTCTCTCTGTGTAACTCTGACTTTCAAATAAATAAATAAGTCTTTATATAAAAAAAAAAGAATCTATTGGTTTGTCTGGAGGGCATTTCGTATGTGTAGGCACATGTTTGGCATAGCCACGCAATTACGTGTCTTTCTCTCCCTTCCCCAGAATGGCAGAATGGGTAAAACAGCAGGCTGAGCGGGAGGCTGAGAAGGAGCAAAAGCGCCTGGAACGACTGCAGCGGAAGCTTGCAGAGCCCAAACACTGCTTCACCAGCCCCGACTACCAGCAGCAGTGCCATGAGATGGCGGAGCGTCTGGAGGACTCCGTCCTCAAAGGTGAGAGTGAGAATGGCATAGTGTGGTCAGCAGCTACCTGGAAGCCCGCAGTTTCAGATGGCTACACCCTGCCCACAGAAAGCAGTTGTTAAGCTTAGTTTGGGCCACAGACTTCCAAGAAGCTTCTGAAAGCCTTGGGAATGCACCTCTCATAAATGAATGCAGTGTACTTTGCCCCTTCTGAACATAGCACAGGCACACACACCATTTGTCATGTTTGACCCCTGAGTTCCACTGACCTATGGGCCCCAGGTACAAGTCACATTTGTGTTTGTGTTCAGGGATAGGCTAAGTCTGCAGAGTTCTAGACCTCACTGTATTTGCTCCCAACTTTAGGTCAGGTTTTTTTGTTTATTTGTTTTTGGTTTTGGGTTTTTTAAGATTTATTTTATTTATTTGAATGGCATAGTTACAGAAAGAGGTAGACAGAGAGGTCTTCCATCCACTGGTTTGCTTGCCAAATAGCAGCAACGGCTGGAGCTGAGCTGATCAGAAGCCTAGAGCAGGAGCTTCTTCTGGGTCTCCTATGGGGGCACAGGGGCCCAAGGACTGCTCCACTGCTTTCCCAGGTGCATTAGCAGGGAGCTGAGTTGGAAGTGGAGAAGCTGGGGCTTGAAACGGCTCCATATGGGATGCCGGCGCTGCAAGGTGGGGCTTTAACCTGCTGCACCATGGGGCTGTTTTTTTTTTTTTTTTTTTTTTTTTTTTTTTTTTTTTAAGATTATTTGAAAGGCACAGTTACAGGCTGGGGCAGGAGAGATAGAGAGAGAGATCGATCTTCCATCTGCTGGTTCACTCCACAAATGACTACAACAGCCAGGCCTAGACCAGAGCAAAGCCAGGAGCCTGGAACTCCATCCAGGTCTCCCATGTGGGTGGCAGGGGCCCAAGCACTTGGGCCATCTTGTGCGACTTTACCAGGCATGTTAGCAGGGAACTGGATCAGAAGTGAAGCATCCAGAACTCAATGGTGACCATGTGGGATGCCACCATTGTTGTGGCAGCTTAACTTTTCTGGGCCACAGCACCAACCCCATGGTCAGTTTTTTAAGAGTGAATCTCATTAATTTTTATTTTATTATTTTTTAGCATCTGAAGCATTATATAAGACTTGATATGAGTGCAGTTGATTACAAAGGAATCTTTTCTGTCAAATAGGTTATGATATAATGAGAAAGACAAATATATGCAGATATCTCACATGAGAGGATGAATATGTAGGTTTGAGGAGGGCTAGATGTGAATTTGTCAGCCTAAAACTACGTATTGGACATTGGTGTTTTAAAAATCTGGTTCTAGCCAGGCTGCTGTGGCTCAGCTGACAAAAAGATTCATACAGAGAAAAAAAATTTTTTTGACAGGCAGAGTGGACAGTGAGAGAGAGAGAGACAGAGAGAAAGGTCTTCCTTTGCCATTGGTTCACCCTCCAATGGCTGCTGCGGCCGGCACACAGCGTGCTGATCCGAAGCCAGGAGCCAGGTACTTCCTCCTCGTCTCCCATGCGGGTGCAGGGCCCAAGCACTTGGGCCATCCTCCACTGCACTCCCGGGCCACAGCAGAGAGCTGGCCTGGAAGAGGGGCAACCGGGACAGAATCCGGCGCCCTGACCGGGACTAGAACCTGGTATGCCGGTGCCGCAAGTGGAGGATTAGCCTAGTGATCCGCGGCGCTGGCCAATACAGAGAGAAATTTAAAAACCATTAATTAGGCCTGCGCCGCGGCTCACTTGGCTAATCCTCCGCCTGTGGCCCCAGCACCCTCGGGTTCTAGTCCCAGTCGGGGCGCCAGATTCTGTCCTGGTCGCCCCTCTTCCAGTCCAGCTCCCTGCTGTGGCTCAGGAAGGCAGTGGAGGATGGCTCAAGTGCTTTGGGCCCTGCACCCGAATGGGAGACGAGGAGGAAGTACCTGGCTCCTGGCTTTGGATCAGCACGCTGCGCCAGCCGCAGCGGCCATTGGAGGGTGAACCAATGGCAAAGGAAGACCTTTCTCTCTGTCTCTCTGTCTTAACTCTGCCTGTCAAAAAAAAAAAAGTTAATTGAGGTATCTTTTGAAATGAACCGTGTTGTTGGAAAGATACTTTTGCTTTGACATAAAGAGCCTGTGAAAATCAGCATAGCTACTGATGCCTTCCAAGATCACCCTTGGTTCTGGAATTAATTGTGATCTGAATAATGCTTACTCTTTAAATGGCATTGAGAGATATGGGTGCTCAGCTGTTCAGTTTTCCACTTACCTTTTCAATAACTGTGCAATGAATTGTACATTTTTCCTATTACCTGTATTAAAATAAATTGAATTACTTGTTTAAAAAAAAATCTGGCTCTAGAACCAGAACTATTTATTGCTTGAATCTGTGCATTTTAGATTAATCCCATTTTAATTATTTATATAAAATTTTGATGTCTTTTAAGAAATGTAAGTCCAGAACATTAGGTTACAACTCTTTTAGCAATCTAGATTATTTATGGTTTCCATAAGCTCAGTGTTGATAGTACAAACAGTTGTTAAACTTTCTGATTAGGTATGCAGGCTGCTTCCAGCAAGTTGGTATCAGCAGAAGTAAGTGAGAATCGGAAACGGTTTAACCAGTCAAAAACAGACCGAGGAGCCAGGGCAAAGAAAAGGAAATGCTTTTGGTAAGTGCATATGTTTCATTTTCATTACAAATTGATCTTTGAAGACTGAGATGATATATTTTCCTTCTGTCTGGCGTAAACACCTGTTTAAGTAAAGTGTGATGGAAGCTCAGAAAATTCAGAGTGCTTCATACTCCCAGCTTCACATATTGTCACAAGTACCTACTCACAGTGGTTTCTGCTGGAAGTGATATTAATAGAATCTAAAGGTTAATTTTTTTTCCTTACAATTAAACATCACATAAAATAGGTTTATGTTTGAGTTATTTTTGGTGTTGAAAGAGTTAACTGAAAAATTCTAGGTGGAAGTGGATCTGTACTTTCCAGGTGGTTCTGTTTTCTCTGGGTTTCACAGGCATGGCAGAGGTCTTTGGTCACTTTGCCAGCACTCTTGCTCTGGGGATAAAAGCATAACTGTACTTTTCCTTACCCCTTCTTCTGATAGTTCTTTCGCCTCTCCCAGCTGCTTCTCTGGTTGCCCGCGCAGTTCTGTTGGGCCAAGTTCTAGAAAGTGGTAAGAGTAAAGGGATCTTGCTTCCTTGCTGGCCGCCCCTTTGGGGATAGAAAGATAATTATTACTCACAGATCTTGTAATTCTGTGAGTTCAGCATAGAATTCTGTGTGTGCTTTCACAAATAGGAATTAAATGTTCCTGAGAGAAGGCCAGTGCTGCGGCTCACTAGGCTAATCCTCCGCCTGCGGCGCTGGCACCCCGGGTTCTAGTCCCGGTTGGGGTGCCGGATTCTGCCCCGGTTGCTCATGGAGTGCAGTGGAGGATAGCCCAAGTGCTTGGGCCCTGCACCCGCATGGGAGACCAGGAGGAAGCACCTGGCTCCTGCCTTCAGATCGGCGCAGCGTGTTGGCCGTAGCAGCCATCTGGGAGGTGAACCAACAGAAGGAAGACCTTTCTTTCTGTCTCTCTATCTATCTATAACTCTACCTGTCTAACTCTGCCTATAAAAAAAAAAAAAAAAAGTTCCTGAGAGAAAAGATAGTGACATTACTTTTTTTTTTTAAGTCATATTTATTGTGGTATTATTTGTAAATGCTAAAACTCTAACTTTTTGGTTGATCAGTTCTGTTTCTGAGAAATCTGTAGTCACGGAAATGCCACCACAGTTAAGATGGAGTATTTTTGTCAGCCTAAATAGTTCTGTGCATCCCTTTGTAGTTAGTTCCCTGCTGCTCCCCGTCCCCTGGCATCCTCTGGCATCCTCTGGCTACCATGTGACGTTTGTTCTTAACAGTGTGGTTGTCTCCTGGCAGTCACAGAGCCTCTGTGCTGCCTTTAACTTAGCCCTCCGCCCATAGGGGCCGTCTGTGGGATTCCGGCTCATTCCATGTTATTGCTGAGTGCCATTGCGTGGTGTGGGTGTGTCACGAATAGTGTACATCACGGTTTGTTTATTTTCCATTTGAGACACATTCATTGGTTTCCAGTTTTGAATATTAGGAATAAAAAAATGGGATTTTCTTTATGACTTAATTTTTCTAATTCCCAGCAGTTGAAATTAATATAGGTGATTAAAGCTTTAAACAAGATCAATTTTAAGAGATTTTTAACCTTAAGATTTATTTATTTAATTGAAAAGCAAAATTAGAGGAGGGACACATGGGGCGGGGTGGGGAAGGGAGACCTTCCATCTACTGGTTCACTTCCCAAATAGCCACAACAGGTGGAAGCCAGGAGCCTGGAACTCCATCCAGGTGTCTCACATGAGTGGCAGGGGCCTGCACTGTGGCGCAGAGGGTTAAAGCCCCCGCCTGCAGTGCTGGCATCCCATATGGGCACCAGTTTGAGTCCCAGCTGCTCCACCTTTTTTTTGTTTGTTTGTGTAAGAACTATTTTTGTTTTGAAAGAGGAGTTACAGAGAGAAGCAGAGCCAGAGAGAGCGAGAGAGAGGTCTTCCATTCACTGGTTCACTCCCCAGTTGGCCACAATGGCCGGAGCTACACCAATCCGAAGCCAGGAGCCAGGAGCTTCTTTCCGGTCTCCCACATGGGTGCAGGGGCCCAAGTAATTGGACCGTCTTCTATTGCTTTCCCAGGCCATAGCAGAGAGCTAGATTGGAAGAGGAGCAGCTGGGACTCGAACCAGTGCCTATATGGGATGCCGGTGCTGCAGGCTGGGGCTTTAACCCACTGTGCCACAGCGCCAGCCCCCTGGCTGCTCCACTTCTGATCTAGCTCTCTGCTATGGCCTGGCAAGCAGTAGAAGATGGCCCACGTCCTTGGGCCCTTGTGTTGGGAGACCTGAAAAAAACTCCTGGCTCCTGGCTTCAGATCAGCCCAGCACTGACTTTTGAGGTCATTTGGGGAATGAATCAGCGGATGAAAGATCTCTCTCTCTCTCTCTCTCTCTGCCTCTTCCTCTTTCTAACTGTGCCTTTCAAATAAATAAATAAATCTTTAAAACAAAAAAAAAAAACAAATCAAAACATAAAAAGGATCAGCTAGGTCTTGAACCACTGCCTATACAGGATGCCAGTGTTGCAAGCAGTGTCTTAACCTTCTGTGCCACAACACTGGCCCCAACTTTAAAAACTTTTAAAAAAAAGAGATCCTCGGGGCCAGCACTGTGGTGTAGTGGATGGAGCCGCCACCTGCAGTGTCGGTGTCCCATGTAGGCGCCATTTAGAGTCCCTGCTGCTCTACCTCTGGTCTACCTTTTTTTTTTTTTTTAAGATTTATTTATTTACTTGAAAGAGTTACACACAGAGAGAAGGAGAGGCAGAGAGAGAGAGGTCTTCCATTCACTGGTTCACTCCCCAGTTGGCCGCAATGGCCAGAGCTGCGCCGATCCAAAGCCAGGAGCCAGGAGCTTCTTCCAGGTCTCCCATGCGGGTGCAGGGGCCCAAGGACTTGGGCCATCTTCTACTGCTTTCCCAGGCCATAGCAGAGAACTGGATAGGAAGTGAAGCAGCCGGGACATGAACCAGCACCCATATGGGATGCCGGCACTGTAGGCAACTGTCTTACCCGCTACGCCACAGCACCAGCCTCTCTGGTCCACTTCTGATCCAGCTCTCTGCTGGAGATGGCCCAGATCCTTGGGCCTGTGCACTCACGTGGAAGACCAGAGGAAGCTTCTAGCTCCTGGCTTTGGATTAGCTCAGCTCCAGCCATTGCAGCCATCTAGGGAGTAAGCAGATGGAAGACACTTCTCTCTTTTTCTTTCTCTCTCTCTTCCTCTCTCTGCCTCTTTGTACCGCTGCCTTTCAAATAAATAAATCTTTAAAAAAAAAAAAAAAAAAGATAGTTCCTCTTGGATCTTTGCAATGGTGAGTTCCAGTGTCTTTGAAATTTTTTTCTTGTTAAATTGATGCCTTTGAAACTTTTTTTTTTATAAAGATTTATTTATGTATCTGAAAGGCAGAGTTACAAAGAGGGAGGGAGGAAGAGGGAGAGAAAAATCTTCCATATCCTGGTTCACTTCCCAAATAGCTGCAACAGCCAAGGCTGGGCCAGGTTGAAGCCAGGAGCCAGGAACTTCCTGCAGGTCTCCCACGTGGGTGCAGGGGCCAAGCACCTGAGACATCTTCCCTGCTTTCCTAGGCCATTAGCAGGGAGCTGGATTGGAAGTAGAGCAGCCAGAACACGAACTGATGCCCATATGGGATGCCAGGGTGCAGGTGGCAGCTTAACCCACTATGCCGCAGTGCTGGTCTCTGGAATATCTTTGTAATTTACCCATCCTCCATCTGAAGTTAGCAGAGACTTTCATTCAGAGTCCATTTCCTGGACAGACTGCAACTCTGGTTTAAGGAGAAGCTGTCATTGGTGTTAAACCCTTCTGTTGCTTCTGACAGGTTGGGCATGGAGGGGCTAGAGACTGCAGAGGGGTCCAGCTCTGAGAGCTCAGATGCTGACAGTGAAGAAGGACCCAGTACTTCAGGGATGAGCTCCTGTGCTCCAGAAGACAGCAGTGGTGGTGTTGAGGTGGCGGCCGCGTTTCCCAGTGATTCCCAGAGGGCAAGGGTGTTGAGTGCACCAGAGGAGCTGCAGGTCCCAGTGCCTGACTCTGGGAAGGCTGTTTCAGAAGACTTGCGAGCCGAGCTGGGAGAGAAGTCTGTCCAGGAGCACGTGGAAAGGGAGATGGCTGTTGAGACAGAGGAGGAAAAGGGAAGGAAGGCAGAGAATCAAGAACCCACAGAAGGAGAAGCAGCTGGGACAAAAGAAATGACTGAAGGGGACGGAGCTGCCAAGGTGGCATCTGGAGAAGACACGGACAGCGTTTCCATTGCCAACATTGCCAAGCTGGAGGAAAGCCAGTCGGCAAACACAGTGAGTACTTCTCAGGGGTTGATGTCAATAGAACTGAGTCAATTTAATCTCTCCAGTAAGTCATTAAAATGGAAATATGCCTTTCCCATCAATTGCTTAATGAATGGCCCAACACTAAGAAATACAGATAATGATTGTCCCCTCAAAAAGGGTGTTTTGTTTTTGTTTTTGTTTTTCTTTGAAAGAGAGAAAGAGAAAAATCTGCTGTCTTCTGGTTCACTCCCAAAATGCCTACAACAACCAGGGCTGAGCCAGGCTAAAGCCAGCAGCCAGGAACTCAATCCAGGTCTCCCGTGTGGGTGTCAGGGACTTAAGTACTGGAGCCATCATCTGCTTCCTCCAGATGTGTGTTGCAGGAAGCTTTTTCTTTTTGTCTCTGGAATTCATACTATTTTGCTACTAGGTGGTGTCCTTTGTTCTGTATTTCATCACATTTTAGCTTTCCTGAAATTAGATGTGTATCTCATATTAGAGCTTAATTGGTATTGTTTATTCTTTCCTAATACATTCAATAGTGCATGGGTGGAGGGTAGGCATTGACTTGGTGGTTAAGATGCCTCTTGGGGGGTTCGAATCACCTGTCAGAGTGCCTGGGTTCAAGTCTTGGCTCTGCTCCCAGGTCCAGCTTCCTGCTGATGTGCACTGTGCAAGGCAGCAGGTAATGGCTCAGCTCCTTGGGTCCCTGCTACTCACGTGCAACACCTGGATTGAGTCCCAATTCCTGGCTTTGGTCTGGCCCAGCCCCAGCTGTTGTGGACATTTAGGGAGTAAACTATGAGATGGGATATTTCTCTCTCCGCCTTTCAAATAAATTAAAAAAAAAAAATCATTTCATTGTTGTAGTATATTACCATGGGTGGCATCTTAGATTTGATGAAGAAATGTCCTCATTTTCCCTATCACTAAATCGCTGCTCAGTTTTGTCTTCTCATTTGAGATATAGTTGGATGTAAAGGTCTTTCCTATAGAAGAGGAGCTGCTCCTTTTTAACTTGTCATTAAATCTTGAGTACCACATTCAGCCTTTTGAAAGGTCATTTTTGCTGTACACACTTTCCTGAAAGAGTTCATTATTCACCATTTACAGTGGACTGACTGCCAGCAAAAGTCTTCAGATTTTACTGTGTGATCTAATGGGTTACTTTTGAGAATAGATGAAACCTGATTTCCTTTGATAAACACAAAGTCTACCATTTATTTAACCAACACCTTCCCCTGACCCCAGTGAATCAGCAAAATATATAGATACCCCTTTCTGGGGAGGAGAGTGGATCTTTTTTTGCTAGGGACTCTAATTTGATCTTCACACCATCTCTGGAGTTGTAAGGGGGTGATTTTTATGTTAGATGTGTATCATAAGAGCTTTATTGTCACTCAAGTCTTGGAAAAATGAGTGAAGGAATAGTAGAATAAAAGCTGGTTTGATTTGTTTAAAAAAGATTTTATTTACTTATTTGAAAAGCAGAATTACAGAGAGGGTGGGGGAGACAGTGGTCTTCCATGTGCCAGTTCTTTCTCCAAATGGCCGCATTGCCGGAGCCAGGAGCTTCTTGCAGGTTTCCTGCATGGGTGCAGGGGCCCAAACACTGGGCCAACCTCTGCTGCTTTCCCAGGCACATTAGCAAGCAACTGAATTGGAGAGGAGTAGCTGGGACTGAGACAGGAACAGGTGCCCATATGGGATGCTGGGGCCGCGGGTGGCGACCTAATCTACACAATAGTGCTGGCCCCAGCTGATTTGATTTTCAGTGTTACTCATGGAAATTTTGGACTTGGGGTTGTACTAAGAGCTGCTGGTTCAGGTCTCCAAACTCACGTACGTGACATTTTAGATTTTGGCCATAAATAAGTCAAGGTTCACTCCAGAAATCTAACAAAATAGCTTTTTTAAAAAAACAAAGATCAACTCGAGAGTGAGTCTGTCCTCATAGCACTTTAATATTTTTGGAAATAACAAAGTCATTGTTCTTTGAATACATTAAAACAATTAGAAGTAAACATTTTCATTCTTCACAGTACATCCATTATTAGAAGCATTTAATTTTTCTAAAAATATTAATTTATTTATTTGAAAGGCAGATTTACAGAGAGGCAGAGGCAGAGAGAGAGGTCTTCCATCCGCTGGTTCGCTCCCCAGATGGCTGCAATGGCCAGAGCTGAGCTGATCCGAAACCAGGAGCTTCTTCCAGGTCTCCCACCTGGGCGCAGGGGCCCAAGCACTTGGACCATCTTCCACTGTTTTCCAAGGCCATCAGCAGGGAACTGGATTGAGGTGGAGCAGCTGGAACTCAACTCGACCGGCACCCGCACAGGATGCCAGAGCTACAGGTGGAAGCTTAACCTACCGTGCCACAGCACCAGCCCAGAAGTATTAATTTTGACTTAAAGTCTATAAAGGGGGTTGGTGGATAGAACAGTTACAAGTCTATTGAATAGCATTTAAATTGGTTGAATTATGTAAGTGGGAATTCTGACAGTCTTAATTATTCAATTAGAATAGAAAGCATTAGGATTGTGGAATTAATAGATTCAGAGACATGGGAATCTCATTAAAATTAAGCTTTTTAATAAAGGTGCCTGTTCTTTTCTGTGGTTGTATTTTACTGTTTGGATTTTTATTGGAAAAATCATAAAAGGGAAAAAGCAACACTAAGAATTTGTTCAGGGATTCTATATTTCTGTTACTGTCCTTAATACTTGTTTTCTGAAAATATAGATGAACAATTTTATTAATTGCATTGAGAATGTATACAGATGGGGCCAGCATTGTGGCATAACGGGTAAAGCCACCGCCTGCTGTGTCAGCATCCCATATGGGCGCTGGTTCAAATCCTGACTGCTCCACTTCTGATCCAGCTCTCTGCTATGGCCTGGGAAAGCAGTGAAAGGTGGCCCAAGTCCTTGGGCCCCTGCGCCTGTGTGCAGAGACCCCGAGCAAGCTCCTGGCTCCTGGCTTCGGATCAGCGCAGCTCTGGCTGCTGCAGCCATTGGGGAATGAACCAATGGACGGAAGACCTTTCTCTCTGTCTCTCCCTCTCACTGTCTGTAACTCTACCTCTCAAATAAATAAATAAAATCTTTGAAAAAAATAAATGTAAATAAATAAACCTTTAAAAAAAATAAAAAAATGTAAACGGAATTAGATCTAGATGATTTTAAAATTCATAGCAAGATGTGGCGGATTAAATGAAATGTCTTCTTTCTTTTTTCCCCTCAGGTTCTTGGTCAGGAGACTATAGATTTATTGGCCTTCAGCTCCGTGGCAGAACTGGAGTCGCTGGGTTTGGAGAGGCTCAAGTGTGGACTGCTGGCCCTGGGACTGAAATGTGGGGGCACTCTGCAGGAGCGGGCGTCGAGGCTCTTCTCTGTCAGAGGACTGGCGAGGGAGCAGATCGACCCAGCTTTATTTGCCAAGCCTGTGAAAGGGAAGAAGAAATGAACTGGACCCGAGCTGGCTTCCTGTTTCTTTATATTCTGCCACTTAGAACCTGCCTAACGTGGACTCTCAGCCAATATTCGTATTGTTAATAAAAACTAACTTTTTAATAACTCAATTCTAACTCTCTTTTCATTATTGCATGTGTTGTATTAGTGTGTGAGACCATTAGGCCCTGAAGTTTTTTTTGTGAGGTTTTTTTATATTAATAAGTATAGAGCTATTCAGATTTTTGGCTTCATACTGTGTCATTTAGGTAAGTTGTATTTTCAAGGAATTTATACATTTGACCCCTAGGAGTCAGGTTCATAGAGTTATCCACAGCAGTAACTTTTTTTTTTAAGGTTTACTTATTTGAAAGGCAGAGTTAAAGAGAGGCAGAGAGAAAGAGAGAGAGGTCTTCCATCCACTGGTTCACTCCCCAGATGGCCACAGTGGCTGGAGCTGTGCCAATCCAAAGCCAGGAGCCAGGAGCTTCCTCTGGATCTCCCATGATGGTGCATGGGCCCAAGGACTTGGGCCATCTTCCGTTGCTTTCCCAGGCCATATCGGAGAGCTGGATCAGAAGTGGACCATCTGGTACTCGAACCAGTGCCCATATGGGATGCCAGCACTGCAGGTGGTGTCTTTACCCGCAGTGCCATAGCGCCGGCCCCTACAATAATTGCTTCTTACCCTTCTAATTGTCACAGCTGTTTGAAAACTTCTTTCTTCTGTTTTAAAAAATATTTCTTTATCTGAAAGGCAGTAATTGACATCTTCCATCCACTGATTCACTCACCAAATGGACCCAGTGGCTAGGACTGGTCTAGGCCAAAGCCAGTAGCCATTTGGGTCTCCCACATGGATGGCAGGGGCCCAATTACTTGGACTAATCCTACTGCCTTCCCAGACACAGGAAGCTGGATGGGAGGTGGAGCAGCTGGGACTGCGGTGCTCTGGTAGAGGTGCCAGCATTGCAAGCAGCAGCTGAAATCACCGCCACAAGGCTGGCCCTCGCCTTGTTTTTTTTTTGTTTGTTTGTTTGTTTGTTTGTTTTTTAACATTTTACTGGCGCCGGCACTATGGTGCAGAAGAGAGGGAGAGAGATATCTTCCACCTGCTGGTTCTGTCCCTAAATGGCTGCAACAGCCTGGGCTGAATGAAGGTGAAGCCAGGAGCTTCTTCCGGGTCTCACAGGTAGGTGCAGGGGCCCAAGGACTTGGGCCATCTTCCATTGCTTTCCCAGGCTGTAGCAGAGAGCTGGATTGGAAGTGGAGCAGCCAGGACTTGAACCTGTGCCCATATGGGATGCTGGCATTTAGGTGGTGACTTAACCCATTACACCACAGTGCTAGCCCTGGCCCTGCTTTTTTTATATATATATATATATTTGGTACTTGTCTATCCTGCTTGGTCTGACTCAGGAGTTCATCAGTTTTGTTGATCTGATTTTTAAAAACTCAGCTTAAGACTATTTTTCTCAATTGTTTTCTATTTCACATCTTTATTTCCTTTCTTTCACTTGCTTTTTTTCGTTAGCTGGTTTTTAAAAGATTGATTTATTTATTTTGAAAGTCAGTTATAGAGAGAGAGGGAGAGATCTTCCATCTGCTGTTTCACTCTCCAGATGGCTACAGTGGCCAGTGCTGGGCCAGGCCAAAGCCAGGAGCGTCTTCCACATCTCCCGTGGGGATGCAGGGGCCCAAGGACTTGGGGCCATTTTCCACTGCTTTTCCAAGCACATTAGCAGGGAGCTGGACTGGAACTGGAGCAGCCAGGACTTGACCCAGCACTGGAGGTGGAGACTTAACCTTCTACACAATGCTGGCCCCCTTCTTTAGCTTTTTAAGGTAGGTCTTAGATCAATGATTTTTCTCATATAAATATGTGTATAAGGCTATAAATTTCCTGTTAAGCACTACTTTAGCTACTTGAAAATTTTAATGTGTTATATTTTCATTATGATTCAGCTCTTAAGTATTGCTTGGTTTCCTCATTTGAGTATCTGCTCTTGTTTGATTAACAAAACTTGTTTTTTTCCCCTAAATGTCTCATTATGACTTGAGTTTTACTTTAATTCCACTGAGGTCAGAAAATGTCAGTACTTGGTTTTATTGAGATAGTGTTTTGGGTGCCAGTGCTGCAGCATAGCGGGTAAAGCTGCCAGCTGCAGTGCCAGCATCCCATATGGGTGTGGGTTTGAGTCCCGGCTATCCCACTTCTGATCCAGCTCTTCTGATCCAGCTCTCTGCTATGGCCTGGGAAAGCAGTACAAGATGGCCCAGGTCCTTGGGCCCCTGCACCCACGCTGGAAACCCGGAAGAGGCTTCCGGCTCCTGAGTTCAAATCAGATCAGCTCTGGCCGTTGTGGCCAACTGGGGAGTGGACCAGCGGATGGAAGACCTCTCTCTCTCTCTCTCTCTCTCTCTCTCTCTCTCGCTTCCTCTCCTCTGTGTAACTCAGACTTTCAAATAAATAAATAAATCTTTAAAAAAAGAAAGAGAGATAGTGTTCTGACCCAGTTTATGGTCTGTCTTGGTGAATGTCCTGTGGACGGTTGAGAAGAGTATCTGTTCCAAATGGCTGGGTGACTGTGTTGTATCATGTCAATTAGGCTAGCTGGTTGGATTTTGTTTATTTCTATGAAGTGCTAAGAGAGAGTGTTAAAATCTTCCATTATAAGGCCAGCACTGTGGCACAGTAGATTAATCCTCTGCCTGCGGTACCTGCATCCCATATGGGCACCAGTTTGAGTCTCGGCTGCTCCTCTTCTAATCCAGCTCTCTGCTGTGGCCTGGGAAAGCAGTAGAAGAAGATGGTCCTGGTCCTTGGGCCCCTGCACCCATGTGGGAGACCCGGAAGAAGCTCCTGGCTCCTGGCTTTGGATCAGCGCAGCTCCAGCTGTTGCAGCCATCTGGGGAGTGAACCAGTGGATGGAAGACCTCGCTTCCTTTCACTGTCTGTAACTCTACCTGTCAAATAAATAAATAAAATCTCTTTTCCCATATGGGATGCTGGGTCATAGGCTGTGGCTTTACCCGCTATGCCATGCCAGCCCCGTGACTTCCATTTTCCCTGGAATATTGGTCCCAAGGGCCTTCAAGTCACCAGTCGGTGGATTGCCGACCCGCCTACTTCCCAGTGGTGTTTCCTCAGGCCCCACAAGCTTCCTGAGCATCCGTTCCCTGGTCTCGCTAGGGTTGTCAGGGTCAAATCAAACACTAGCAGCTCAGGCACTGGAGACCACATCTAAGGCAGGGCAGTGAGCACGGCAGGACAGTCTGTGTACAGAGGAATCCACGCTGCCCTCAGCTGTGTGATCCAATGGAATCTGCCAGGTGTCACACAGCTACAAGGCAGGCGGCTCTCCCGCAGGGACTCAATGCACGCCAGGTTGGCACAGGGACAGAAGCAAGTGTGAGGTCTGGGCTCTGAGAGTCCCAGACTTGGGTTCACCAGGGCGGGGCTGGGGGACCTTACTTGAGGTCTCTGTGTACATTCCTGGATGGAGCTATCAGACATAGCTGACATTTCTAGGATGTGATAAATGAACCATTTAAGACTAAGGCATCTTGAATTGAAAATGTAGCAAAGAATTAGAACTTCGACAAATGCCAGTGAAAACAGGACTACGATGTTGGCTATTGCACTGGGCCCTAACTTTCGTTCCCTCGGTTTACCACGCTGTAGTGGAGGACAGCGATGTCCATTAGTCTGAGAAGGTGTGCCATGATTCTGCCTGTGAAAGTTCTGTTTATCTTGGAAGACAGCCCACATGCTACCAACTGAAGTCTCAGAAAGGAAACAGCAGGCTCGTTAGGAAGTGTATTCTGCAGATCTGTAGTCTCCAAACTTGACTATGTTTTACTTACTTGAGGGTTCCTGTCCACTGGTTCACTCCCCAAATGTCCACAACAGCCAGGACTGGGTCAGGCTGAAGCTGAGAGCCAAGAACTCAACCTGGCTCTCTCACAAGGGTGGCAGGGACCCAACTGCTTGAGCCATCACCTGCTGCCTCCCAGGGTCTGCACAGGAAGGAAGCTGGAACTGGGAGCCAGAGCCAGGAATTGAACTCCAGCACTCCAGTGTGGGATGCAAGTGTCTAACTGGCCTCTGAACCACGAGGTCAAACACCCACCGCTGCACAGTCCATCCACTGTGCACGTCAGTGAGACACTTGAAGGGGCACACCCTGGACAGTGTCCCTCCACTTGGATCCCATGTCCCTCTGAATACAAGCCCACGTGCCTGCGATGGCCAGCAGGCCTCTCCCCTGCTGACCTCACTCCATCTCAGCCATAGTGGCCTTGCTGCGGCTCCCCACTCCCAAAGCTCAGCCCATTTCTCTGCTTGGAACAGCTTTCCCCAGGTGTCCACAGGACAGCTTCCTCACCGCGTACTCTGATTTCAAATGGCAACAACGCCCTCCTCCCCGTGCCTCCGCCACACACACACACACACACCCCTCTGTCTCCTGGGGTGTATTTCCCGGTACTTACTATCAATGGCGGTGCTATTTATCATACCTATTAAATGTCCCTCCATCCCTGTAGACAGGGTGGGTTTTGTCTGTTTTGTTAGTTCATAGAAAGTGCTTCATAAGTTTTTGTTGACTGAACTAAAATACTGCTGTGTTAGTATGTTGTATTTCATAAAACAGTAAACAAATAGAACTCAAAATATGCTCACCATCCCTCAGTGAATCATAGAGCACATCAAGGCGTTCAAGGGTATTTCAAAAAGTCCATGGAGGGGCCAGCACGGTGGCACAGTGAGTAAAGCCGCCGCCTGCAGTGCCGGCATCCCATATGGGCACAGGTTCAAGTCCTGGCTACTCCACTTCCAATCCAGCTCTCTGCTATGGCCTGGGAAAGCAGGAAAAGATGGCCCAAGTGCTTGGGCCCCTGCACCCATGTGGGAGACCCCAAAGAAGCTCCTGGCTTCTGGCTTTGAATCGACGCAGCTCTGGCCCTTGCAGTCATCTGGGGAGTGAACCAGTGGATGGAAGACCTCTCTCTCTCTCTCTCTCTCTCTCTCTCTCTCTCTCTGCCTCTGCCTCTGCCTCTCTGTAACTCTGCCTTTCAAATAAAAAAAAAAAATCTTTATTTTAAAAAGTATATTTTGTTGCTAACACAC